ATGGTGGTGTGGCTATTAATGGTGATATTAGGCAGGTATACAGTGAAAGAGAGCTAATGGGGCAGAAAGAAATACAGTTTGAATTGAAAAGGAGCACCAGGAAGACAAATGTTGGAGCCCTGGCATTTGATGGAGAGGATCCCATTGATAAGGAGATTAAAGTGATTAAGGAAATTAAAGTCATTAAGGAGGGGCCTTGATATTCAAACTTAAATAATGGAGAGAGTGGTTCCAGGGCAAGACCACACCCAGTTAAGCTTCCAACTTTTGAAAGGAAAATTCTTCAGGGGCCACTGAAGACCAAAGCTTCTAAAATGGATAAAGCAGGGTGGAGTCCATCCCAAACTTGCAGTCAAACTTGGTAGTGTTGCTAACCTGGTGATGGCTTTAGAGGCATGAAAGTTGGAAGAGTGCAGGGGTCATCAATTCTTCCTCTGAGGTTTCAGAGAGCCTTGGAGGCCAGGCACCATGAAGCAGGGATTCTCCTGCCTAGAGAAGGCCCTGATATGCCATTACGTGAAGCTGGGAAGGTGAAGCCTGGTTGGCAATGGAGACCCCAAGAAGTTCATGATGCCAGAGCTGTGATGGATCTGCCAAGAAGACTTGCACACAAGGAGTGGTACCATCAAAAGAGAGAGATGTGTGTTGTGCACAGCAAAGCTAGAGAGGCTGAGCCATCTAAGCTCTTTGGAAGTAAAGCCCCAGAAGTTGGACATGGAACTACTGGCCCTGCTGGTTTTCTTATTTTAGTGCAGTATAACCGTACTATGTCTCCATTCCACCTTTTTGAATGGTAATGTGTATTTGGTTCCACTATATGTTGGGAGTATGAAATTTGTCTTTTGACTTTATAGAGGCTTACAGTTAAGATATTTATCTGAGTCCACTTTGGACTGTGGACTTTTGAATAGTATTGAGATTGATAATGACTATGGGGATTTTTAAAGTTGGACTAAATGCATATTGCATTTTATATGATCATGAGCCTATAGGGGCCAGGGGGTGGAATGTGGTGGTTTAAATAAAAATGTCTCCCATAGGCTTCAAGTGTTTGGAAATTTTGTTCCCAGATGATGGCGCTGTTTTGGGAGATTTTAGAGGTGTGGCTATCCTGGAGGAAGCATGTCACTGGGAGTGGGCTTAGAGAGTTCTTAAGCCTTTTCAGATCTCCAGTTGCCCTCTTGCTTTCTGTGACTTCGTGATGATGTGACAGTTTAACTTCTGCTGCTCCTGCTCCAGCCACCTCATTCAAACATGCCTCTGTGCCATGATGGACTGTAATTCCCCTGGAACCATAAGCTCAAATAAACTCTTCATTCTATAAATTGCTTGGGTCAGTGTTTCTATCACAGCAACAGAAAGGTTACTAATACAGTAATTGGTACTGAGAGTGTGATAATGACTAATACAGGGTTCTTAGTCCAAAGTAAAAGAAGTACATTCCAATGATGACCACATTTCTGTTATGAGTTGTGGCCTGGATGACCTCAGTAAGTATAGTTTTTCCAGTTCCATCCATCTTCTTGAAAATTTCATTGTCTCAGGTTTTCCTAATAGCTGAATACTAGTGCACTGGGTATATGTACCCCTTTCTCATTAACCATTCAGAACCTGATTGATATATGTGCTGGCTCCCTTTGCTTGCTCTCATGGGAAGAATTGAAATGAACACAAATTATAAGCATCTCTGAATTAAGACATAAACTCTTTTTGGTATATGCACAGTAGTGGTATGGTTGGGTCATATGGTAATTCTAGATGTAGCTTTTTGAGAAACCTCCTGACTGCTTTCCAAAGTGCTTGCACTAATTGTGACTCTGTCAACAGTGCCTAAGCTAAATGTCCCCATTTTACCACAAACATGCCACTTTTTTTCTGGTGGTGGTTTTTCTGACTGGGGTGAGATGGAACCTTTACATAGTTGTAATTTCCATTTTCCCAATATCCAAGTATGTTGAACACACTTTTAGTTGTTTCTCGCCATAAGTAATTCTCCTTTACAGATTTTTTTTCTCTCCAGTTACATTGTTCATTTTTAATTGGGTTTTTTTGCTTTCTTAATCTTTAGTCTCTTTAGTTCTCTATGTTATCTAGACACTAATCCTTTGTCATATTTATAGGTGACAAAGATTTTCATCCATTCTATTGGCTGCCTCCTTAGGCAACTGACAGATTCCTTTCCTGTTCAGAAGCTTTTTAGCTTCATAAGATACTATTTGCTAATTGCTGGTCTTATTTCCTGTGCTATGAAATTCTTATACAGAAATCTTGTACCTGTGCCTATAAACTGAAGTGAATTTCCCACCATTACATCTAGCAATTTTAGGGTAGCCTGTCTTATATTGACTTCTGGGCCAGGTGCAATGTAAAGAACAAGCTTCATTTTTCTGCATATTGAAATTTTTGTTTCCCAATACCATTCCTTGAAGATGCTGTTTTTTATCGAGTATATATTTTTGGTGTCTTTGTCAAAGACCATGTAGCTGTAGTTGTGTGATATTTTTTGTATCTATATCTGCATCCTCCATTTTATTCCATTGATCTATGTGTATATTTTTGTGACAGTACCACGCACTTTTTATAACGAAAGCTCTCTAGTATAGCTTGACATCAGGAGTAGTGATATATAGCACAATACCATCAGAACTATGGCAACAGGGTGAACCAGACTCCAAGAGCTCACTTATCAGCCAGCCTAGACAACTTGGCAAGTTACAGACCAGTGAGACACCACTGGAAAAGAGTAGGCTGTGAGCATTTGTTTCTCTGGGTCAGTCACAGATATGAAAATGAGAAGATACTCTCACAATATTTAGTCCTTCTCACTGGACACAGTGATGTACACTAAAGGGAAACACATACCATCACAGGGAACTGCAAAGACCCTCACTGGTGGCAGGTGACCACCACCAGATGGATTTTGTAGCTTTAAAACTAGAGCCTCAGGCCTGTTAGGTAAGTGTTCTGCAACTCACTGCCTCTTCCTCAGTTACCCACAAATATGAATGTTGAAAGAAGAAAATCCAAATGCAAATCAACTACTAGACATGTTGATAAGTAACAGTACATTTAGAGCTATGCAGTTTGATAATTTTCATACATGTCTGTATTGTACGTGTAAAAAATCAACATGATTTCCAAAATGATGAGGGGCTGTGTAAATTTGCTCTGATATTAATTAATATACACATAATAAAATTTCTAATGTCATAGGTTAGTAAACTAGTTTAAGGAACAAAATATATGTCTAGTAAAGTTTTATCTGAGAATGTTTGGTTTTTGACCAAGCTTCCTCTACTTAGTACACGGTAATTAAAAATACCAGACTGATGGAACTAATCTTCTTGGATATTTAACAGTCATACATTGAGGTCTATACTAATTTGGTCAGAGGGATATATAGGACAGTTTTTGCTCCTTGTCCTCCAAGGTCAACTAAGTTCCAAGGGACTATGAGCATCTCTCAAAACTTCCTGTAACTGTGGTGAGTCACCTATTCCTCTGTTCAGGGAGGCCATGGAAACCCAATCAGATGGACTTGAACCAGTGTCCAGTCTATAAAAAGGAGAATCAACTAAGAGGACACATTTCCTCCATGCTTCCAAGTGAGCTCAGCCATAGTTGAGCAGAACTTTTGACTTATCTTCACATAGATGGAATGGTAAAAGAAAGGAGCCAGGTGCTCCTCCCAAGTCTGTATGACCCCTGAGAAACAGATCCTCAAACGAACTTATGAGTAAAAATAAATTGATTTATTTGGACCAACTGTATGGTCTTAAACACCATAAAGGAAAGTATAACCAAAGATTAAAGTGATCAGTGTATTTCTTTAAGAGTTCAAGAGAGAAAAAAAAGGATAAAAAGAGTTCAAAAGCATACCCTTCCCAGACATTAGACTTAAGTCCATATAAAATGTTATTTAGACAATTATTTCTCATTCATGATTTTGTTTCTAAGCAGAAAGTGCTGCTCAGATGTAAGACTTCAAATCTTGGTCTGCAATACTGTAGTTCCCACCTGTAGCTAAGGGAGACAACCCACTATTGTTCTAAAATTATGGCTAAATTTGTTTTCTCCCCCTATCTAGAAGGCTTTGAGAAGGAATTGAAAGTGATTCTAACCACTCCAACAGCTATCAAAGTTACTGAAAACAAATCCTGAGTCCATCACTCTTGAGACCAACCTTGACAGACAAAAGAAAAAATGAGGAGGAACCCAATAGAGGGATGCTTCTGGAAGCTCTTGTTAAGAAATCCCAGTGGACTCTGATATGAGCATTTGAAATTTGCCCTGTTCTAACTTTTTTCTGGTTCCCTAACTAGAACTTGTAATGCTAAGTACTCTTGCCTTTACTTCTCCTTCACATCCCCTATTCACCAATAAAGGACTTTCTTTTCCCCCTACAGATAAGAGTTATGCTATTTTGGAATCTTTTAGATAGACCTACTGAAAGGGTACTCCAATTTCCTCACCCTGTATCCTTGTTCAGTGTGGAAGAATCCAGATTGGTCTACGCACCAATTTCCTATGCACAAGTTGGATAACCTCTTCAGAGGATGATATGATAAGTATAGGAGGTAGGCAGTTAGGGTAAAAAGACTCCAAAGAAAAATACCCAGTTTCTTGGCTAAAAGTCCCAATGTCCTTGGGCTTCTTAGCAATGTACTCTATTCCCAAAGCCAAAAATGTCAAAAGTATTTGGGAGTTTGTATTTAGTCCATAAATTTTTAGGGTTACCTCTTCAGAAGAGATAATGTTATGATAGCAAAAATCTCCATTAAGAAAGGAAGGAAGGAAGGAAGGAAGGAAGGAAGGAAGGAAGGGAGGAAGGAAGGAAGGAAAGAAGGACACGAAATTGTCAGAAAAAAAGTGATGTGAAAATATGGGAGGTGTTGGAGGGGAAAGAGTGGGAGTGGATTTCATCAAAACGTGAATGATCAAATTATGTATGAAATTCTCAATAAAGTTTTTTTTTAAGTTAAAAACAATCGGTATGATTAGTGCTTGCTTTGGCAGCCCATATACTAAAATTGGCACAATACAAAGAAGACTTGCACTGCTCCTGGGCAAGAATGACACGCAAAGTCTTGAAGCAGTCCATGTTTTTAGACAGTGTTCCCCATGTACTCTAGAGCCAGCATGAGCTGACTCCTTTGACTGATAGAATCCTTATCAGGTACATTCAGGGCAGTGATTACATAGGCTCAGTCATAGTCAGAAACAGCATAAATAGACAAAATCACTCAAGAGAACATATAGGCATTCAGGACAGATAGGGTGGGGATCATACCATCAGACATACATACATTCACACTAATGGAGGGACATGCAGACTTAAATGTTTGCCTATGTAGAAATATGCACACATGTGTACACATACACATACTTTCCCCCCCTACATAGTTATGATCTGCTCCCTCTTACATGCTTACATGTGGACCGAAGTTTAGGGGCCCATAAAATCTGAGGGAAATAAGTTAGGGTGCTATGGAATAGATTGATACTTCTTCCAAGAATGCAATGGGTAATCAGTAAAGGATGTGATGCTCTGGTGTCATTTACTGGAAAGGTTTCCAGGAGCCAAAGTATCAGAGTTGGGGCTTTAAACTTGGTCATTATTAGTTTTCTAATGCTGTGACAAAACACTGACCCAAACCAGCTTTGAATGAAGAAGGTTTATTTGGCTTACAGTGCAGAGTCCATCACCAAGGGATGCTAAGACAGGAATTATGGGAAGGAACCTGGAGCACAGACTGTGGAGGTACTCTACTTACTGGCTTTCTCCCCTGACCTGTGCTAAGCCTGTTTTCTTATATAATATAGAACCACCTTCTCATGGGTGGCATTGTCCACAGTGGGCTGGGCCCTGCCTTATCACTCAATAATCAAGAAATTTCCGCACAGACAGGGCCATAGGCCAAACCAATGGAGAAATTTCTCAATTGAGGTTACCTCCAACTAGGTGTGTCAAGTTCACAGCTGAAGCTCTCCAGCGCAATTCACCTGTTGTCAACATTCGCCCACCACCTTTCCATTTTTTATCCCCAAGATCTCACGTTAATATTAATATTACAATATAAAACAGTAAAACTTTAAAAGTCCCACAGTCAAAAATTCAAACACTTTTAAAGCTGAATTTCTCTTTTTTAAAAAAATATCTAATGTCTCTCAAATGTGGACTCCTGTAAAATCCAAAATAAGTTATATACTGACTCACTTCAAAAGGGAAGAACTGAGGTATACTTTAAGCAAAACCAAGGTCTAGCAATGTAGCTGAATTTTGAACATCTGGGATTCAATCACAATCTTCTGGGCTCTGCAGGCCTTGGAGATCTCCACTTCTCTGGCTCTGCCATCCACAATACACACAGTTTGTCTCACAGGTTCAGGCTGGCTCCACTCCACACCTGATGCGTCATGGTGTTGATACCATGGTCCTGGTATCTCCAATATTCTGGGGTCTCCATTGCAGCTGAGCCTATATCTTCACCAATTGCCTCTCTGGGTGCAAATATTCTCTCCATGATCCTTCACATCTCCAACACCAGTACAACCTGAGAAACTCTTACGACACTGCCAAGTTCTGCTACCAGGATGATATGCTGCCTTGGACCACTCTGGACCACAGTGTCTGAGTGCTGACCATTAGGGAATACTTCCAGATTATTTATCTTAATCATGTGGCTCTCATGTTACACATGGATGATTCTTCAGCCTCAGCTGACCAGAATGGATTCGCCTAGTAAAGCACAAACTTCTCACTTCCAAAAAGCATAACTCAAAATACATCACACAAAGCCCTGAAAGAGCCTCCATTGTCTACACTTCCGTTAGCATTATCTTCCAATTTCCTACAGAATATCTCACTGATTTCCATGCATTTTTCCAGTCTAAAGCTCAAAAACCACCCACAATCTTCAGACACATAGTGGTCAGGTATATCACAGCAATATCCAATTCTTGATACCAATGTCTGTCCTAGTTAAATTTCTAATGCTGTGTTGAAACACTGACCAAAACCAGCCTGTGGAGGGAAGGGTTAACCTGCCTTGCAGTTCACCATCCATCATCAAGGGAAGCCAAGGAAGGGACTCGGGGAAGGAACCTCGAGCACTGGTCAAGGAGGTACTCTGTTTACTGGTGGGCTCCCTTGGCCTGTGCTCAGCCTACTTCCTTCTACAACACAGGACCACCTGCCCTGGGGTGGCACTACTCACGGTGGCCTGAGTCCTCCAATATCACTCAATAATCAAGAGAAAACGTCCCACAGACATGACCATAGGCCAATCAATCTGAGGAAATTCCTTGATTTAGTTTCCTTCTAACTAGGTAGGTAAACTTACCAACTGAAGCTATCCAGCACAGGTATGAAGAGGGGATGGGATGTTGAACTGCTAGGGAAGTTATGGGTGCTCTGGGGATATTGGTTGCCCTAGGCTGAGTAAGCCCCTGCCCCAATTATGCTTGGTGCCATCTGCCACTCCTCATGGGGTGATGATGATATGGGAGCTCACCTTGATGGGCAGCAAGTTCTGGGATGAGGACCAGAGGCTCAGAACCTAGCTGTAGAACACCCAATTTGTCATGCCCAACAGCATAGATGACAGCTTTAACAACTCTTCTACACTGGGCACCAACAGCCCTTGGAATAACAGGCCTCCAGCCAGCCAAGAAGGCTAATCAAGGAACACATGTGAGAGGTCTTCCAATAAAGTTGCTATCATGGCTAGTGCTCTACCTGCCTGCCTGCCCCACCCCTCATGGCGCCAGGGAGCAGAAGTCAGAATGAAGAGACTGGACATATAAAATGGGCAGACTTCATCCACCTGCTTCAGGGAGGAAATGGATTCACTGGGGGTAGGTGTCAAGATTTGTCCCCAGTTTTTCCTGGGCTGGACCTGGCCCCTGCAGAGTCTTTTCAGGGAAAGAGGTACACATGTTGATATCTCTGTGGACTCCTGTCCTTTGAGAAATGTCCTGACCCCCTCCCCAAAGGGCATTTTCTCCCATTTTCACCCAAGGCTCCTGACTTAACACTTTGAGCCTAGAGTTGTCTATACCCAGAGCCCTTAGGGGTTGAAGTTAATTGAATACCCTGCCCTACATGTAAGGAAAGAGAGGGGAACAGTGGAGGTGCAGAATCAGAGAAACCAGACAGAGAGTCCCAGAATCTCAGAGTCAGGATTTAGTGAGGTCTTAGCTCAGAAGAAAGAGCACAGCCCCTCACCCATCCTTCTTCTCTCTAGGACAGCTCCCTGTCACAATCTCTCTCTGTATATGAAGACTGGGCCCACAATGTCATCAAGTGAGTAATGTACCCTGCTGTGCCTATCATTGAGCCAGATGAACATGTTACTTCAGATCACGGAAGGAGCAGCAAATCCCTCACGACATCTCAGGTCTAGGTCCCAAACTATGACATACTGGGCAGGATTCTCCATAAGGGCTGTGACCTCAACCTTTGTGGGACCTACACCAAGGCTCCTCCTGCTAGCTGTTGTTACACCCCAGTTGCCCTGTGAAGCCTGTGGTATTAGGTTAGAGGACCCTGAACTCATGAGCTCCAAGGGTGACTCGGGATCCTGCCTTCAGGAGAGGCCTTGGCTAGGATGGGCTTAGAGGTCATAGGAAATCAAGGGCAAGAGAATCACCTCTCAGAGTTGCAGAGACCAACACCAGTCCCTCATGTAATATCCATTGCATCTCAATTAATGGACACTAGAGAGTTCTATGAGGGCAGCAAAAGGTTCTCCAAGAGGCCACAGGGGAGATGTTGGACAGTGAAGAGGAACTACCTCTCCATGGTCAGTTTCTATGCCTAAACTTCTTCTTTTTCTCTTTCCTAGGACCTTTTGTGGGAAATAGCACCTCAAACACAGGGCCCATCTTAATACCTGGTGAGTGTCAGGGGTTTCTGTCCTCATTTTGTGCCATCGCTGAGCTGCCTGCAAACTCACCCCATCTAAGTCCTGGTTCTTGTGTCAGCTAAGTGTGTGTCCAGGAGCCCAGAGATCACAGACCCAACAGAGATCCCAGCAGCCTTAGGGACAGGGCTGCAAGAGGGAACACAGAAGTGAAGAAAGGTCCCAGGCTGGGGGAGGAGAAGCTGGGCTGAGTTGGAGAGTGGGGAGTCCTAACTTCTACCTTCCCAACCCACCATGAGAACCTGAGAGCCAGTCACTCACCCCCATGGAGTCAAGTTACCAGAATGTTAAATGGGGACTGTAGGAAGGTGGATTCAGGGGGACCAGAGGTAGTTATGGGGTGGGTGTGGACTCTTCTGGCGATGCTGTATTGAACAAATCTCTCCCCTGCACGGGACTCAGTGCCTCCAAGTGAAAATAGCTTTCCCCCTAACCTCAGAGTCCCTTTTAGTGCTGACCTTGACTGTGACCTCTCCTGCCAGGGGAGACCTCCACAAAATGAAGTGGACACACTCTCTGCCAGTCATATTACATTGTGCAGGGGTGGGTCACAGTGCCTGTGCAGGGCATTCAGGCTCCTTCCCTCCATCTCCAGGGACTCAGCTCTGGTGGAGAGAATGAGGCTAGAACTCAGATTCCCTGGGTTCACCAGCTCTAAGTTTTCCAGCTGGGGGCCCTAGGCCAAGTGAACTGGCTGGGGTGGTCAGAATGCTTAGATGACATATTGTTGCATGATTATGAGGGGGGAAGTTGGTGAATGCAGAGACCCAGCAGGGGCCTAGCACACAGTAGGTGTTCAGGTCAGCAGTACTCTTCTCACTCACAGTCAGTTGTGCTGCATGACTGGAAAGATACCAGAAGGTTCTGGTATCTATTTCACTGGCCTTCCTCCTGCTGCTGTTTCTCCTCATCTTCCTCTTCCTGTGGTGTAGGTGTCAGGGAAGCACAAGAAAGACGGTGAGTAGGATGTTGGAAACCTGGTTTTCAGGAGGTGACGGGCTCCCCTGTGGACATTGAGTCAGGGGCTCAAGGCAGCAGCTCAAAGGAAACCTGCCAGATTTGTGCAGGTCAGCACAGAAGCACTTCTGAAGAATCCCAGATCAGACACACGTGATCTCAGTACACGTACGAATGTCAGGGATTCCGTGAGCTTCCATCTCCTGGAACATTTGCACACTTGCCC